GGGGGGGGGGGGGGGACACTGGTGCTTTCCTAGCCAAGGGTAAGAGCCGGGGAGGGAAAGACTCGGGTTTGTGGCTTTGAGGCCCTTGGTCTTGCTTCCGCCTGGCCCAGAAGAAGCCGGCCCACTCCGAGGTTCCCAGCAGCCTTGCTTGAAGTCTTCCTTCTCTTCACAGGGAAGTCCTGGGCAACAAGCTGAAAATGGGCTTCCCGGCCACCCCTTTCCAGGACTTCCAGAGGGGCGTGACCAGCGCCGTGAGCCTCATGCAGAGCAGCCTCCAGCAGGGCAAGTTCGACCCCAAAGGCATTGAGAGCGCCGACGAGGCCAAGCGGTCCTTCCTGGTGAGTTGCCCAGATGGGGACCTTGGGGGCAAAGCCTGGACTGGAGGGAAAGGCAGGGGCTCTTCCTCAGAGCCAGCGCAGCTGGGCTCGAGGGCCAGCAAACGGGACTTTCAGAAAGCTGTTGCAAGCACCAACACAGCGCAGTTCGTTCAAGCAGGGGTCGCAAGAGAAGTTGCTTGTCTTACTCAAGTACCTGGGGAAAAAATCATTTTTATTGAAGAGGAAAGGAGGTCGAGACATTTATTCACCTGAAGAACGCAGTTGGGTCTCGTGTTAAAAGCAGAGAGAGTGGGTGGATGGGGCGGCAGTGCCTTCTGGCATAGACAGGTCAGCCTAGATGCACACTCTTTTCCTAAAATGGCAGCCCCACATGCCAAGGCCTGGGGACTGATGATCAAATAAATGGAATCCTCTTCACAGTAAGTCCCCCCACCCAAGGAAGTGTGGGTGGCCTGTAGGCCCAGCTCCCTTGAACCAGCGAAAATGGGAACATCTCTCTGCCCTCCGTTGGGCCCGCTCTCAGAGAGCCGGTCTTTCCCCTCCTAGATGGGGCCAGGGAACGGGTTTTGGGCCAGGTTTTGAGGGCCAGCCTGGTACTGAGATGAAAAAGGAAGTTGGGGATCGGGTATCTGACCACACAGACCCTCTCCTCCTTCATTTTCCCCCGCCACTGCTCCTCCTCCGTGGCAGATATCTTCCTCGGAGGAGCCAGTGACTGAAATGCTCCCTGGGAGACAAAGGCCCTTGTGGTGCGGTTGCTGTTGAGAGGTGGGAAGTTGCAGAGGAGTCTGACCATTCCATTTGCTGCTTTTGACTCCATCTCTTCAGGTGACTTTAAACAATGTGGAGGCCTGCAGCGAGAACATCATGACGCTGAAGAAGACCCTGGAGGTATTTGTCGGCTCTGAGCTCTTGGCTAGAAGTGGTCTATCTTGGTGTCCTGTCCTCCTTTCCTCTGTGTATTTGCATGATTCAAATCCATCTTGTTGCTAAGATAATTAATAGAATCGCTTTATCTCAACTGGAAGTCTTGCTTTATTTTTAGTACTTCCTTACTGCCTTGTCCCAAAGATGGGTACACAAAACTACAGTCTGAAGAACTGGGATATAAAACGTCTGCTGGGAAGCCCAGAGATGCTGGGTTTGGAGCAGGGAGTTTCTGTGCCTTCCAAGAGGCCAAATCTCAGGGGTTAGGTTGTGTGGGAAATGGAAGGAAAACTTGAGCTACTGGAGGATATCCCTGCGTGTAGGCTGTTGCCTCCCCTCCTCTTACTGAGAGCAGTTGTGTCTCATTTCCATCATTGGCTGGATTTGTGCTTCCACGCAGAGCGACTGTTCCGAGCTCCTCAGCCAGGGCTTTGGAGGAGAACAGGCTCGGCCCAAGTTGGATAGCTGCCTTTCTGACATGGCTGCAGTCTCCAGCAAGTTTCGCGACCTGCTGCAGGTGAGCTTCTGGCCCTTGGACCTTTACCTGTTGCAAGGCCTCCAGATCCTGCCACTTTCCAGGCCTTTGGCTTCAGAGTGCGCCTGGATGAAGCGAAGCAGACAAGATCAGCCAGGCTGGTTAGGTGGCAGCACCCACGGCCTGGCTGGTGGGCTTTCCAGCCAGGAGGTGAACTGTGGTCAGGCATGCAACAGGCCCTTCTCTGGACACCCTATAGCCCCTGTTTCACTCACCCCATTTTGCTGAGAGCTTCAGCTCAGAGAGATGTGATAGTTCTTGAGAATAGAAGCAGCTTCTCTTCTCCCAAAGGCAGGGGGTCCCCCAAAGGTTTGCACCTTGGCCAGGATCAGCTCCCAGGCTGTTGGTGTGCATAGGGGAGCCTAGAGAAACTAGGATGGGCTGCTGACTGACCCTTGTTCTCTCTCTGGTGGCCCAGGAAGGCCTGAATGAACTCACAAACTCAGCAGTCAAACCACAGGTGAAACCCTGGATTAACCTCTTCCTGTCTGTCTCCCACAACATCGAGGAGGTGAGTCCTCTGTCCCCATCTGCTTCCCTGAATGCAGGATGCTGGAGAAGCAGGTCTCCGGGGATACCATTCTCACCAAATTGAAGGCTTGACTGAGGCAGTACAGGGGAGCAGATGTGGGGCACCGGAATGCCTGCGCGGGGGGCATAGAGGAGCACGGAGGTAGCTTTGAAGAAACTATATTGCAATCATTAATAAAACATGAACATGGTGCAAAAAGACCGGAAGGGGTGAGGAAGAATCCCAAGTTTGCCGTTCTTGACTCTCTTTGGTGTAAGAGGGAGGGACGGGGGAAATGCTGTCAGGCTTTTGAGGTCTCAGTACAGTAAAGCTCCAATATTGCTTGTGGTATCTGTTTCCTGACCTGGCCCACCTCGAAGGGCGGACATGGAGAAGCCTCTCTGAAATCAGCCTGGGAAGGAGAACAGAACCTGCTCAGGGGCTCACTTTCCCTCTGATGATGGGGAGGGGGGACTTGCCAGTCAGCCACAGCCTTTTCAGACACCACCTGTGTAATTCTTCTCCGCCCAGAGCTTTGAGTCAGTGGTGGCCTGAAGCCCAGGGGCTTGGGGGGAGAGGGGCTTCTTTCCTCGCACTCCTTCCACGGCCCCGTTTCTTCCGCTGCAGCAAACGCTGTCCTTGCAGCAGGCTCCTTTCCCTACGTCCAGGGTTTCTTTCTTTCGCCCTGCCACTGCTCTTCCTTTAGAGCCTAGCTTCTCACAGGAAAAAGCTCTTCCTCCATGCAAACCTCCCACAGCCCCCGGGGCCCCACAGCCTTTGGTCTCCTCCTGCTAAGCAGGAACGGAAGCAGCAGGAGCCAGACCGGAGGCTCTCACACCCTCCCCCAGGCAGGCAGATGCTTTCAGAAGGTCTCTGCGGGAATAGCTGCTAGCTAGGCACACTCTGACCATGCCAGACTTCCTTTCTGCTGCTTGGTAAACCTATTATTTTAAATGAAAATACTCTCTCTGGTGGCTCAGAGAAAGACAGGGCAGCTGGGCTTCCCGCAGAGACCCAGGCCAGTTGAAGCCACTCCTGGTGATTGAGGGAGGCAAAGGAACAGCTGCAGGTGATCGTGGGAGAGAAGCACCTGGAGACCAACTCTGCTCTCTGCTGCTCTTTCAGGAAGAGTTCAATGACTACGAAGCCAACGACCCCTGGGTACAGCAGTTCATTCTGAACCTGGAGCAGCAAATGGTGGAGTTCAAGGTATGATTGAGTCACAAGAGCTTTGTTGACAGGGACTTCCTCTCAGGATTCGTGACGCCTAGGGTCCTTTGGCACATGGGCACCGGTCATTTCCAGGAAGAAGCAGCTGCCCTGCTGTGCGGTCAGCTTGCCAGCGGAAGGCCAGGGCACCTGATTCGTTGGAGTGGCACTTGGCAGCCTCCTCCCTGGAGCGGGGCTGGGGGTGGGAGTGTTGTCCCTCTGGCCTCTGTCTGCTTGTGACAAGAGCACCCTTCTCCCCCTCTGCAGGCAGGACTCTCGCCTGCGATCTATGACAGCCTCACCAGCCTGATGACCAACCTAGTTGCTCTGGAGCTGGAGAAGGTTGTTCTCAAGTCCACCTTCAGTCGGGTAAGGAGGGGCAGAAAGCTGACCAGCAAGGCCAACCTGCAGGCACGGTTGCCAAGCATGCCAGTATTAAAATCTGAGTGTTATTTTTTTGCCCACGCTTCGTGACCCAAGTCCTACCAAAGCAACCAGAATGTAAAGCTTGGGTCATCTAGCCCAGCCTCCTGTGCCACACAGGAATCTAGTGCGACAGCATCCCTGGTAGTCAGCCATCTGTCCTCTTTCTCAAGACCTCTGGCGAAGGCTACTCTTTTGCATACCAGTCTGTTTCATTGTTGAACAGGTCTTAACATGAGGGTTTTTTTTTCTTATCTCCAACCAGTATCATCTACCTTGTAATAGAAGCCTGTAGTTTCTTTTTCTGTCCTATAGAATAACTCCAGAGTGCCCCACCTTCTGCATTGCAGCATGTCAGATACTTGAAGAATATACTATCCTGTCACCCCTCTGCAGTCCTCTCTTCTCCAGGCATTCTTCACCCAAGGCCTCCAACTGTTTCTGATTTCAGGCCCCTTCTCTTCTTCATTACTCTTCTCTTTTTTTTTTTATAAATTTTATTAAAAGTTTTACAAAGAACATAAAAACTAACACAAACTGATAAAGAGTAAAAGAAGCAAAGCAAGAAGAAAAAAATGCAGAAAGAGAAAACAAAAAGGAAAAAAAGAACAGGCTTCCAATTTCTTTTGCAGCAAATATAAGTACAATTACAAAATGAACTTACTCTATGATTACAAAAGTAACCTCACTTTTTTCTATTGTCCAGTTTTTTTCTGATCATCAAACCACAAATCATCAATGCATTTCTTTCCATTTCATGCAAAAAGTCTATAAAGGGTTTCCAGTCAGCCATAAATGTAGATACTGTTTTTTCTCTAACCAAATAAATCAATTTAGCCATCTCTGCAAGTTCCATCAACTTCACCAGCCACTCCTCCATTGTGGGTAGTGTTGAACCTTTCCATTTTTGAGCTTATAACAGTCTCGCTGCAGTTGTCATATATGACAGCAGGGTTCCATGACTTTTTTCTAATTGCCTGTCCATTAGTCCCAAAAGAAAAGTCTCTGGCTTCAGTTGTACTTTAATCTTTAAAATCTTCTGAATTAATATATATATTTGTATCCAATTTTTTTTTAGCTTTTTACATGTCCACCATACATGGTAAAATGTCCCTTCATGTTGTTCACATTTCCAACAAAGATTCAAAGTATCTTTAGACATTCTAGACAATTTCTCTGGTGACAAACACCAACAATACATCATTTTATAAAAATTCTTTTT